TAGCAACAGGAGGGTTTTTTTCTCTTCCAAAGTCAAATATGTCCCCAAGAACCCCTTCAACAGAAGTGAAACGGTGATTGTGTTTGTCAGTTGCGAAGTATTGTAAATAGACTTTGAGCCCTCCCTAGAAATGGCAAGTGGTAGTTTAGGGAAGGTTGGTGGGGTGAGTTTTAATTTTTTTTATTTGTTTTTCTTTAGATGATTTCATAACAGTTTAAGCAGCCAGATCTTTTGCCTGTTTATGTTGGAAATAACTATCTTTCTCTCCTTTCATACATGCACACATGAAGTTTTGTGTTCAGGGTAGTAGCAAACCCTCTTTCCTGTCTCTTGTTAATAAATATGGTACATTTCAGTGGTGCTGTCTTAGCTGAACTTTCATCCTTACGGACAATTTTAAACCTTTTTCAATTTTCGTCCCTCTGATTTATTTTCGTTTGGAGGGAAGTGGGTAAAAACGTAAGCTAAGTTGAAATACAGTTTATTGTCATTGAGATTGAAGGCCTAAAGAAAAGGGTTAGGGGAACAAATTTTAAAACATTTTAAATGGACAAAAATTTCGTACCGTAAAGTATAAATAAATTTTATGTTCTTAGGGGAAAGAGCCCAGCGCAGGCTGAGTTGTGCTACTTGAACAAAGCTAAATGGCTAGAAATGTATGGTGTAGATATGCATGTAGTTAAGGTAAGGCCCATATGATACTTTACTTTATTGATCTGGGGTCCCTGGCCTGGTGTGGGTCAGTCCCTCGGGCATGTCCTTGTTGTGGTGTGGGTCTCCCCGTGGGCTGTGGTCCCTCAGAAGTACCTCCCTCCTGCAGAGCTCCTCCCAGGAGTGTGTCTCCAGCCATGTCCCCCACAGTGCCCCTTTCCACGTGCCTTTTCCCATGTCCCTCAGGTTTTTCCTCTCATGTCTCCTTCCCCTGGCAGCTCCTGCTTGCTCTTAAGCCCAGGTGAGCCGAGGTGTGGGCTCCCCTGGCTGCAGTGTTGGTGCGGGGCCGTTTCCATGGGTGTTGGGCTTTCCCCCACGCAGGGCACCCTGCAGCCTCCTGTTGCCAAAACCTGCCAGTTTGCACCCAGTACAGATGCGTATTCTTCCGCTCTGTTGTGTTAAAAATATTAAAAACTTGTTGTCCAGTTTAAAACCTATGGATTTTGTAGTAAGATTTACACTACTAATGGCATATTGATTATTGATTATGTGCTTGCTTGCAGGGGAGAGATGGTTGTGAATATGCTCTTGGACTGACACCAACAGGCATATTGATCTTTGAAGGAGCCAACAAAATAGGCTTATTCTTTTGGTAATCTGTTTTTGTGTTATATTCCATTCTGTTAAAATGCTGAAATCTTTCTCCTTTAGGTAATGGGATTCTTGACTGTATTTTGTAATGTAGATTGAATCTACAAGGTTAAAATATCAAGGTTAAATCTGAAGGTAAATAGGCCTGGTTAGAAGTGCCACTCTCAAATGTGAAATACTTCTTGAAAAATAGTCACATTTCCAGGAAATCATACTTTCATTATAAGTGTTCCAGGATTGCAAATCGCCCCCTACCTTTTGGGAGATGGTCCTAGATGCCATTTTTCCATTAATTTTCTTTTTGCTTCTTGTGTTTAGGCCTAAAATCACAAAAATGGACTTCAAAAAGAGCAAACTAACGCTTGTGGTTGTAGAAGATGATGAACAGGTAACTTTCTTCCCTTCCTTGGGCCTGATCCAACAAAGCGGTGTGTGCTCAGGCTGGTAAGAACACAAGGGAGGCTCAGCACACTGTTGGCCCAGGCTGTGTTTCTCCTACCAAGGGCAGTAACTAATATGATGCATGCCAACTTCCAAAGCTTTTGTTTCTGCATTTAGGGCAGAGAGCAAGAGCACACATTTGTTTTCCGGTTAGACAGTGCCAAAACATGCAAACATTTGTGGAAATGTGCGGTGGAGCACCATGCTTTCTTCAGATTGCGAGCCCCAGCAAATAGTAAATCTAGTAGATCCGACTTCATAAGGCTGGGATCACGCTTCAGATTCAGGTATTTAGCAAAGAAACAGCAATATATTTGTGTTTATGTAAAGGAGCAGGCACAGCATCCAGCAAAAGGCAGTAGTTAACTTTGTTTATTTCTGTATTTTAAGTGGGCGAACGGAGTATCAAGCAACACATGGGACAAGATTACGCAGAACTAGTACTTTTGAAAGAAGGCCCAGCAAGCGATACCCTTCTCGAAGGCATTCAACTTTTAAGGGTAAATGTTTGTGTACATGTGTTCACTGAACTGGTCATGCAGCTGTCCTGTTAACGCATATAAATGTCATATTACAATCATAAAAATCTGTGGTTTTGCATATTACAACCAGAAGAACATGTCAGACCACCTAAAAAATCAGAATGTATGTTTTGATTTTTTTCTCTGAAGTCAGAGTCTGTCCTCCATATCGTAACATTTTTAATCTCTGTTGACATTTAATTCTTCCCTCCCCCATCTGTGGAGGAGGAGGTACCTGTGGTTCCTTTTGTTGTTCCACTGAGGAGGAAAGAAAAGTTGCATCAAGATCAATGAGGGAAAGCGTGTAACATTTTCCTTGAAGAGGTGTATTTGTCATGTAGAGTGGAGCAGTGTCCAAAAGCCTCGCTGGCTTGTTTATCTAGCCAGGCAGTCTTAGGGTTGTTGAGCAGTCTCATTATGCAGTTGATGCTGCTTTCCTGACTGTAATGGCATGTTATTCACCTATCCAGACTCTGACCTTAGCTAGCTTCCTCTGGGAGTTGAAGTGTGTGCTGAATTTGAATGGAATGACAAGGAATTGATTTCCCTTGCGGTTTTGTCATTTGTCCTTCAAAACTTAAGATGAGGTTTTTATTCCTCATAGAAAAACCTAGGAAGGAGCACTGGAAGACAACCCCCTCTAAATTCTGTATTGCTTGAGGCTGGAGGTGTAGTTGCTGTATAGAGCAGGATGAGCTGACATTCCCTTAGGATGTCCTTTGCGTTCCTGGAATACGAACCTCAGCTCCATGGAAAGTCCTTGCGGTATTATGGGGGCACTTTTATTTCTCATGTGCAATGGGGGTCACAGGGTAGCAAGCACACACCCTTTCTAGAGGCTGTAGCCCACCCCTCTTCCTTAGTGCGTGTCACTTTTTTTACAGAAGTGCAAATTTATTAAATTTTTGAGATACTATGATGTAATACATGGGAGTCAATTATATGGTAAGTGTGGATAGTTTCGTAAGTGGAGGAATGAATTATTTTAACTGTATTTTTACAATAACAGGATCTGTCAGACCTGCGGGTTATACCTTGTGTCTGAGTGCTTCTGTACTCCTGTCTGTGAGATGAGGGAGAAGAAAGTGTGGCTTACGCTTAGTTTAGTTCTCTGTGCATAGCAGCCAGGTGGAACTTCTGTCACACCCAGATGATCTCCCTCCAGAGAGCATGTGTGTTAAGTTAATGCAAAAACTCCCTTTAGACTACTGTTGTTCACACGTCTCTTGGGCATTAAGACCTGTACCTAGTTGCAGCCCACCAGCATTGGCTTCTGTCCTAGCTCAGTCTCTTTGAGACTTCCACAGTGTCTCGTTAAGTTTGTCATCTACTTTATGCATTCAGCAGAGACTTGGATTTGCAGCTGTATCACTCAGCAGTTTTTCAGTGCTCTTGGAAAATACGCTGTTTGGCAGGAAAAAGAAACGATCCATCCCAGTTACTCAACTGCCGCCTTCACCGTTCTTTCCAGCCTGACCAAAGCATAAGCCGAGACCTTGTTGCTCAGGATTGCTCAGTGCCTTCCCGTATTCCCCACTGACGGGCTTTGTTGGCTGCTGTCATTCACCGTAATAAGACATAGGCCAATACCAGTTCAGGAATACTCTCGTTTCTGTAAGATGCAAAATTTCTGTGACTGGTAGCTTCTGATTTCCAAGGGGCTCAATGATACTGACATGGCAGCTACAGCAAGGTGAGAAAAGTAGTGTTCTGGCTGCGCAGAACGTACTCTGCCGAAGGTCCTTCTTGTGTGACAGTTGGGAAGAACACTTGTCTGCTGTCATCTTTGATGGGCGTTGACTCTGGCAGAAACAGGATGGTTCGTGTCTGCCTCGTACTTGATGTACTCGCACAGGAACGCTAGCAAGCACAGGGCTGCACTTGCAGTTCTGATGCATTTGTGCAAATGTCTGTATGAGGTGTTGCTTTAAGCTGTCATGGAACATCCCAGTGACAATAGCTGCAAAATGACTGGAATTTCACATATCTTAAGGGTTTTTTTTACCTGACTTAAGGTTTTTTGTTTGTTTGTTTCTTTTTAAGCAAACAATCCTGTGAAAGCAGCACAACTGTGGTAAGTGCCCAAGTTCTCTTTACCTCTGAATTGCTGTTGTCAGGCAAAAAATATTCTGAAGACCATTTCTTCGTTAGGATTTGTCAAAACAAATTCTCTGGTGTGGGATGAATTGCTTTGGGATCTCTCATTATGCAGCACCAGATTCTTCTTGGGGACTGTCTATGAGAATTTAAGTGCTTCCATTTTTTAATTTTTTTTTTCTTTCTGTGTTTGAGATCAAACTAAAGTAAAACGTGTTTTCTTTCTGCTCATTGTTACTCTGCTAACTTACCTAGCATTATTTTTTCCTATTTCATAGATATAAAATAAAAAAATAGCACCCAGCTTTCTTGCACTTTAATTGCTGTGGTGTATATCTTGAATAAAATATTGGTGTCCTTAGGAATATGAATTTTACTTCACTATAGTACTTCCCTGAAGAGTAGAACCCTGAACTATACGAGATTGTGACATAGATGTATTGATTACATAAAAGATTTTTTTTTTTTTCTCCCTTAGTGCTAAAAATACTCCTGAAGTCCATAACTACCAGGTAAGAGCATAACAATTGTTGAGGAGAGTATTGTCATTTTCTTATTTAGTGGTAAATATTTTTGCTGTCTGTAATTAGCGCAGCTGGTTTGCTCCCCTTTCCTTACTCCAGGGTGAGATTCTCTGGGGTGGTTCAGAAATGAACAGCATCACATTGGGGGTTCCGGGGAAAGTGGAGGGAACCTCCTCTCTTTGTTCCCCTGTGTTCTTGCCTGCTCTGCACACTGAATACACGCCACCCTCTCTCCCTTCCCCTTCTGCGAAATGACAGGTTAAAGCCTTTGGGACTGTGAATGTGATGGACCCCAGGAGGCTGCTCTGTGAGCAAGCTTTTGTCTAGAGCAGCCTCTCACATTGGGTGATCCGTGACAAGAAGTCCAAAGTTGCAATTATCTCCCCCATCACAGCACTTAAGGAGGTTGTTGCTGGTCAAATGTTTGTTCGTTGGTTGTTTTGTTTTGTTTTTTAAACAAGCTCCTTTATGCACTTCAGGGAAGAACCTCACCTGGTTTTCATCTGTGATACTAGCAGTCAGTGCTACCGAGAAAGCAAGCTGTGCTTCATCCAAACTTAAGTGTGTGCGTGAGAACTTAGTCTTAACACTTGGTTTTAATTAAAAGCCTCACTAGTGATTTTATTTCACTGTTTCTCCACCAGATCTCATGGATATGAGAAAGAAATGCTGTCACCAAAGATAGGTGACCTTCTGAAGACTGCTATTGTAATAGTAACCTTTCTCACTCTCCACCTTTGATTAAAGCTGACGTTCTTTTGATGTGCTTTCTGTGAGAAGCACGAGATGTGCCAGGTTGTCCCTCAAACAGAAAAGCAATTTTCTGTGCACTTTCCCATGAGTGTGTCGTAATGGGCAAGCTCATCACCAAGAGGTCTCATGTATATGCTCGGTGGCATGGGAGAAGATCCGAAACAGTGTGATTTCTAGGACTCACAGGGAGCATGTTCCTCATGGCCCCAGGAAATAAAAAGTTAGAGTTAATAGGGAGGTTTTATATTATTTCATTAACAGAGTTCAATGTTTTCACTTGCAGCCACAGTATCATGCTAATATACATCCTGCTCAGCCACACTGGCATCCACATACACCTGTGAATGTAAGGTAAGCAGCCTTCCCTTTGTGAAAAAGGTGGTTCCCTCTTTCTTTGTCTTAATCTGTTGAACTGAAGCTTTGGTGGGTGTATTGGGCAATTTTCTGCGCATGAAAAGCAAACAGAAGTTAGAAATATGTGATGCAGAGGCAGTATTAAATAACTTTTATATAGATTTTGCTTTGGAATGTCCTAATCTCCTTGATGCAATTGTTTTTCAGGTAGATTTTTAATTCAGAATTTGAAACACAACTTTAGTGTACTTCTGTAGGGACTATGTTGGATGGGAAGACACCCAGTAGCTTCGATAAAACTAATTGCAATTTGATCAGTATATAGTCTCCTTAGACAAAGAAGAAACTCATTTTAGGGTAAAGTTAAGTTAGAGGTGAACAGATTCTTGCGTTGCAGCACTTTTTTCATCTTTTGCAGAAATGTATATGTAAAAATAACATGCACGTGGAACAATGTATCAGGCAATTTACAGATACTTAGTGAAATTATAACATTGAGTTTTTGAGAACCATTTCACAAATATATTCCTATATGTGCTATTGTGTTATCTTCTCACCTACTTTTTTATTTTGTAGTAGCAATGAGAAAAATTGAGTGAAAAGAAATTTTAGAAGAAACTCAGTCCCTGTTAAAACCAGTTTGGTGGAATGCACAGTGGAAGCACATGCCTGCTGGTGGATATGTGTCTGTGCATGCATATGTGATAAAAATCAGCTGCTATTTTATCCTAATAAAAAGTAACCTTTTTAGGTTACTCAGTTTTTTAGAGAAATAAATAGTCTTGACTGAAAAATGCCAATACCCTAATCTTCGTTCCTATTCATATTACGTTTTTATCTCAGTATTCTTACATCAGGTTAGGTGGAGTTCGTTCTTAGCGTAGGCAGGCTTTGGAGATGAGGCTGAGCTTAAAATGGGTGACAAGACAATTTGGTCCAAGTTTGAGTCTGAGAATACAGGAAAAAGGCATCTATGTTATTAGAAATACTTACTAGGCAGAGAAGCAGATATACTCGTTGTCATCTTAAAATCCCTAGCATACAGCAGTAAAGCAGATACTAACGTTATGCTAGACACAGAAGGCTTTAAATTGAGTTAATTTTGCCTGTATTTGACGTTCAAGATTCTTCCTGTTTTAAGGGTTTACTTGTCCATTGGATTGTGTGTGATTTAAAATGTTCAGTTTCACAGTTTCTGAAGAGTGATTGCCGAGAGAGGTGAATGATTTTATAAGTCGTTTGAGGTTTTGCTGAAATTTTTCTAAAGATTTCTTCACGTATGGATATAGTCTGTAACATTTTTAAGCCAAATAGTTCACCCTGGAGCAGAGTGATATTGAAATAAGCACAATAATGTATTGTAATGTGTGTAGACAACCTCCCCCTTCAGCCCCTCTGCTGCCTGGGCAAAGATTAAGGTCAGTGAAATATGAACAATGGCTTTTTTATAGCTAGGCTTGTAAGGCTAAAAACCATACTTAAAAGCTCAGTCGTGCAAGCTCAGTAGAAAAGGTGCTCAGAACTTCTGTCCCAGTCAGGTAGAAGCGTTGAAATGTGTGGTTAAAGTGGAAGCTCCAAGTTATTCTAACTTGGAGTCAAAGTGGAAGAGTTGGACATGCAACATCTTGGATGGCTTGATTTGAGAAAGCTTAATCCATCCGACTGTGAACTTGAGAGCAAACCACAAATGCATGAAATCCTTTCTGCTGGGCATGCAGGACCGGGATGCACCAAGGGCTGAAACAAAACTACCTGTTATATATGGGGGTTTTGTGGGATAATGCATGAAATAATATGTGGAATTGTGTCTCATTCTTCTTAGTAAAATCCTTTCAGTGACATTATTTGTTTGCAGTTAACTTAATGTTCAGTTTTCTGAGAAAATTAGTTCCGATTAACAGTAGTCGTTAGATAACTTTAGAATAGAATATCTCAAAAAAAAAGATAAAGTCTAAACCTGCCTGCATTTCCTCTAGCATTAAAAAAAAATTGCCAAAATAAAAATTGCAACTTCAGTTTGGTAATAAGGGAGTCTTAAATATTGTGGTTTCCTATACACTACATTGTTAATTATTTATTTATCCCGTCCCCTACCCCCACCCCCAGTGATTCAGGAGACACTGTAGGAGAGATTGCTCTGTAATCAGCAATAAGTAATGAACAAATAAGGAAAAAATATTTTTCCTCATAGTAATTATGATAGATGACAGAGAGATACCTGTGCGAAGGATAGAGTCTAGGTGTTCGTCTTAACAAAACACGACTGTGTAAGTTACGGGCCGTCAGCCTGATTAACTGTGCCCGTGCTGAGCGAATGGCCCTATTTCCAGAAGAGCAATTTTCATTCTTAATAGGATTGCCTTTCTTAATTTTTTAGACCTTAAGGACATATTTTCAGGAGCTCAACTTTTTGCCTGATAGGGTTTACTTTACTTGTTTGTGGTAGGCATTTAGTTTTCCTATAGCCTCCTACTTCCTCCCCACCATCCCTCTGGGATTCAGCATTGATGCACGGCACTTGTCTAACGCTTGAAAACAGAGCGGGTTTTCAGTGACTGAGCTCTCATTCAAAGCCTTCAGAAATCAGCCCAAAGATTCCCAGTTGCTTCAGTGGCTTCTGCATCGGACCTGTAGGTCTGTCAGCATTTCCTTCCCATACTGATAGCTGCCCACCGCGCCGTACGCACGCGTAGCACTTGCCGGATGAGCTCGTGTACTGTGTAGCACTCGTAAGTTTGCTTCCATCTCTCACTAACCAATAACTGTGCAAATGGTACAGGCCACCCTATCACGATGACAGGCCATATTGGAAACCCCCCACAAGTGGAGAGGACAGCAATTTACGATATATCCAAGAACAGAACCAGAAGAATTTAGGAGGAGTCCAAAGCATGGTGTACCAAGATAAACTCATGACGACACTCTGAAAACCAGCCATCTTCATTTCACCTGCCATCTTAGACGATCATCGCATTCCATGGTCCCTGTCTGTCTGCAGTGTGTTCACAGCGTGTTGTGCGTAACGTGTGTGTCTTTGTATGTACGTCCATCCTTGTTTAGTGTTCATGGACATTCTTGGGAAAAGTATTTTCCGTATCTTTGTAAAAAGTCTTGAAAAACCTTTTGTGAAAGCTGGTGGGAATTTTCAGTGCCCCAAGACTAGAAATATTTCTGGGGATTTACATTCTACCGTACTTTCGAACCTGTGACCCTCTGCCTGCTGTTGAAGATCAACCATTTGTGCCTTAGTTATTTTTATTTAACTTCTTTCTTTTGAGTCAAAGTAGTAGATGAAGTTTGAGACACACTGGTTTTTTTTTAGTTGACATGCAAATAGGAAATTGGAGGGAGGAAAAAACAGAATTCACACTGGCAATCAAAACGGCTTGTGGACCATGAACAAAGGGAGCCTGCTGAGGTAGTCGTAGGTTTGGGTGTCCTTTGTTCGTAATTTTTGTGTTCTGCAGCAAAAATAGAGGTGCTTGCCTAACTTTGGAAACAAGTATAGGGAAAGAACACTCTAGTATAAACTTCATGGAATATGTGTATTCCTGGTTTTGCCTTACTGATTATATTGGCAACATTCCCCAAAACTGTACCTGCTGCTATAAAGGCAAGAATGTTAAAAGTGAATCCTTGCTGAAAGGGTGCTGCTCTCTTCTTATTGTTAATGTGATCGTGAAAGTGGACTATACAATCACATAAAACTACCTACTCATAGCTTTTCTCTGAGTGGATTCAAAAACACAGCTCATAATCAGTACACTACAAGATGAGGACGATACAGTGAAATAGCTCTATTTTTTTAAAGTTAGACGTTTGGGAAGTTGAATGTGTATTTTACAAACCTAGGTCTTTAAATAGGCTTGGCTGGTATTTTGATCACTTGCCGATTTTTTTTTTTTATTATTATTATTTTTATTTTTTTTTTAAAGTGGAAATCGTAGTGCCATCTTCACTCATGCATTTGTTTTCATTAGACCTGGCATCTGTGGTCTCTCTGAAGTTGTTGGAATGAATGAGTCTTCATTTGGGATATTTTAAAAATGAAGTAGTTTTTAAGTCGATTTTGATAAATACACATTTATAAATGGCTATAACCGTGAATTTTTCCAGAGCAAATTTGATAGTGTATAACTTTTTTTGTGAAATATGTTTACAAATGCTGTCTTTTAATATTTGTGGTGATCTTTCCTGTATGTGCTAAGTACAAATAAAAATTTTCATTCTTCTAGTTCTGGTTATGATGCGTTATTTATTTTTGAAAGATTTCAGGGGAGGGTGGATAGACAGGATACGCCTTATGCTTGTACACAGCTGTTTTGCCCTGGAATCACTAATGCTGTGCTGGATTGACATTTTCAGTGCAGTCGGTAGAGAGGAGAAAACAATAAAGCAATTGTGCACCGAGATGTGAAAATGCCGGAGTGAGCCTAAGGTGGGTAAACACAGAGGCTGGCTTCAGTTTCCCCAGGCTGGTCTTCCTCTGTTTCAGCAGCATTTTATTTGGGAAAGGAAGAAAGAGAGACTTTGTTGGAGCCATTGGAACAAGAGCTTAGTTTAGCTGCTGCTCTCAATGCCCTCTGGAGGAGGTTTTTTTTTGAATACTCACGTTAAAGTGGAGCATTGTCGCTTCATGATTCACACACCTACATTCATCATACAGTGTTGTTCTTGTCATGTGACGTCACCGTGTTTTGTTGTCAGCGTTCCTCCTCATCACGTGTCGTTACCTGTGGTTTGGTTTATTGCCGAAGGTGCGCGGAATGAGGGATCTCCCTGACAGATGGCAAGAAGAGACAGCACAAGGCCTAACCGGGCCTACAGTGTTCACGTGCCTCGTGCAGGAGGTCTGCGCGCGGGGGAAGAGCGGCCCGTGGGACTTGTGTGCTCGGCAGTTTGTGTGTGTCACCTCGAGGGAAGCACTTGTCATTCTGCTTCTCTGGAGAAGGAGGTCACGCACTCTGCACCCCCCTTTCGCTTTTTCGTCCCACATC